AAACCTACAAGACATTTTAAGAGTAGGGGAACAGCACAACCTCTGTGCTTATGTGCAGATGCAGAAGTGTAAATAAAGCATGCTGTACCAACATTTCTAAAGCTTCTTTGGCTGAATTCAAACTGAAAACAAGACACAAAAGATCCAAGCCTTGCTTCCTTGGAGATAAACAAATAAGAGCAGTGTAAAAAAAAATTTGAAACACCCACCAGCGTTTGCCATTAAAATGTGCCCATGTCACGCTTCATCATCAAAACATAACTGCTCCCAGCCATGACATTTCCATAACAGATTGGAGGGCGAGACCCCCCAACTGGAGTAATTTCCTCCATCTCTTTTAAACCACCCCTTTGTTCAGCCAGCCCTGATTTCAATATTCAAATGCAACTCGGCGGAGCGGTGAGCGAGACGCTGACTGCGGGGCAATCAGTAGAGAGCAGCAAATTGGTGGAGCGGTTGGAGGGTGGGTTCACTAAACTGCCTCTGCTGAGAAAAAGGAAGAAGAACTTTATCTCATCTAGACTCACATCAGTACAGATAGGGGTGACACCAGAAGTCAGGGCCAAGGGAAAACAGATCCTGTACTTCCTACAACCTCAGTAGGAAGTGGCTGCCAAAGGTCACTGGTACAGGTTTGCAATCTAGTAGCAATAAATCCTCATTTAATAGAGCCTTCAAATACCAAAAGGTGATATATTATGATCAAGAATACTGGAATAAAACAGCTTTTCAATTTACGTGTCAAGAATTAAAATGTTGTTGTTTGCTTGTTTCACCTATGTCTATTGATTAACAGCTAAAAATCCAAGTAGAGCATATTTTGAACACCAATAGGTGCAGAATTTTTGCCAAAAAAGGGAATGAGCTGTAAAGCCAAATTTAAAAGTGAGAATTCACAGCACTTGGCGAAGTAATCACTGAGTCACTAGTATTATTTAGCAACCTCCTACAGACATATTACGGTATTTCTGTGATATGAGACAGTAAAAACATTATTGCATCTTTAAAATTGATTCAAAACCATGAATCTCAACTACTAAGCATGTCAGGCTGCAACGATTAATTTCATTACAAATTATTTTGCCAATTGAATGAAACATCAGAAAATAGTGAAGCCTCACTTATGTGTTTTCAAATTGCTTGTTTTGTCCAACCCACAGTCTGAAACCCACAGATATTCACTTTACTATCACATAAGACAGAGAAAAGATGCAGATTCTCACAACTGAGAAGCTGTAACTAGGTATTGTTTGACACTTTTGCTTAAAAAAGACACATAGTTGGTAATTCATTTTAGAAATCAAACAAACAATTGTTTTTAATCAAGTTATTTGTGTAGTCACACAGCCATGGTAAGTAATAACAGTAATAATTCAGGCAATTCTGTTTTTCAGTGCGTCAAATCATATTGGATACAAACATAATTTAATATATTTTGATTTGGAAATCCCATACAAATATGTTCCTGCTATCTGGTTTTGGTCAGATTATAAAATCTGGCAGAGGTCGAGTCTGACAGGGTCGATCATCTCTGCGAGTACACGATCTGCATAAAAACTCCCATGTCAACATATACTGCAGTGATTCTCAGAGGACGGGGAGCCTCACGTTTTAAGAGGGGGGAGAGCAGCATGTGCTCTTCCCAGCATCTTCTCATCCTGACCAGGCTCGCACAGCTGCGCTTACACAAAGCCACACATAGTGGCATCTTTCTAAATGCCAAAGACTCTTTTCCTGTCACAAGAAATGCCGAGCGCTGGGAATGAGGGTGTGAGAGTGACCGCTTTTCCACAGAGGCAACAGTGGGTGGATTGAGTGGAGATGCGTGGCCTGTGTCACCCTGGCCCGTTCCCAGAGCAGAGGGACAGGAAGTGGCCAGGGATCCTGGGAGGATACAAGCCCTCCTCTGTTTGTCTGTATCAAACCACTATCAGATACTTCATTCAAATGGCCAGCAAGCACAGGCTCCTCTGACAGAGAGCTTGGAGGGATTTGTCAGAGCGCTTCACTTCTGCATCCTTATCATTCAACTTCTTCTACTGGGCGCTTTCGACTGGCTTTGTGGCTTCATGTTTGAGCAGTATATATATATATATATCTTATTGTTCTCCTATGGTCCCTAATTCAGGCACTAATACAAAACAGTGTGGGCTTAAAAGTAGGCTTAGCATGGAAGTAAAACACAAAACCTTTAGGTTAATGGCTGGCAAAGTGTACACTGTAAAGAAGAGAACAATGACTGACACAAAACTAGGCCACTGACACATAAAGCCTAAACAGAGAGAGGGAGGGAGAGACAGATAAAGCCTGACAGGATGGGAGAGATGTGAGACAGGGAGAAAGTGTGAGGGAACAGGTGGCACCGGCATTCCCATGCTCATCCGTATGCCCTTGAAAGTAGCAGGGCACCAATTAGCACCAAATCTGGGCCAGGGCGACAGAAGTTTAGTATCTGCCACATGAAAAATTCAAAAGCCCTTGTCAGCTGGAAGCCATCACAAATCTCATGCCCCCCTTTGGTGTATACAATCTCTTCCTCTTCGGAGTCTATCGTACATCTCATTGGCACACTGAAGAAGGGTTGGTGCTGGCATTAGACAAGTGTTTTGTTTGTTAAGTACTCCAAAGCCAAAGGGAATAGCGTGTTGTTTCAACAAAGATGAGGCTCACTACTACCACTACTACTAGAGCCACCGACCCGTTTACAGCCATCCTCCGTCCTGCAATTTGCGAGCCCTCTGGCCAATAAGCTAGTTCCTCTTTACAGTATCACAAACAATTACAATATGTCCTCAGCGCTCAGTGCCAATTAATCCTCCACTGACCTAAAGGAAAGTAGGGCACTCACTAGATCAAATGATGAACTCAGCAAACTGCCAGCTACAGAGAGTCTGTTCAATGAAACTGCTCAGTTTGCGTCAGTGCAGTTAAATGCAGAGTCAAATATACACATCGCTATCAAAATGCTTGGCTAGGATGCTTGAAACAGTCTCTCTGTAGACCACCCATAAATGGTCCACTTTCCTCTTTATGAATAGGTGTAAAAAGGCAATTCTGAAAGTGGAAGCAACTTGTCTTAAAGCCGCAGATTCTCCATGGCCGGATAGCTGCGGAAACAAGCAGTTCATTGATGCCAGGCCCAGTGTATCACCCTGACAGACAGACCACTCCAGTATAAGGGGGTACAAAGGGGCCAGTCCACAGCCACGTTGCCAATTAGCAGGAATTTCGGCTTCAAGAGCCACTTTCCACCAATCTCATTGGAGCTGACAAACATCTATGGCTTTCACTGGAGGGCATTCATGAGATTCCAAGGAGCATTAGGTACCCTCTGTGGAGCCTGAAATCTGGCAGTTAGAAAGTACAATGAACCATCTCGTACCACTTTGAGAAACACTTCTCACTCACTGGTTGGCTGCCTTGCCCAGTGCTGAATGCATGTTAATCGTCTGGTGAGACTGGCAACATTTTGTCTTTACAGTAGATTTTTTATCACATCCCTGTTTATCCCTTTGTGACCATGTTAGATGTCTGAATTGAGCAAAATGTACTATAAAAACAAACATCAAGCAAAAGTGGGCATAATGCGTCCCCCTGCCCTTGGGTGTTTATACACAACAAGGCTTCATCCCCAGCATCAGTTTGCACGTCATTGGCCTAATACAAAATTTAAGGATATTGAATCCATGGGATATATAATATGTTTTTGCCTGCCTGCTGCCAAACATCCTAATTCCTTCGGGAAAATAGAAAAAAAAACACAAGCAAAATCTGTGGAGGATTAGTCTAATGCACTACTGATAATCAAACATAATAGCAATTTTATTGACATTAAAAAAATATTGATGCCCACATGTATAAAGGAGAAATGTTTCAGATTTTAGAAAGGATTACAGAGACAGAAAAAGCAAGCTGGGATTCATACACAATATTTAGGTTTTAGTCAGATCAAAAAGCTGTGACAACACACTGCAATAGTGGTACAGAAGGTTCAAGTGTGTGTGTCTCAAGATCATAAGGGCTGTAAAAACAGCAAATGTGTCATACGGTGCCATCTTGCGCAAACTGGTGTCTGAGAACAAATCTGGTCTAGACGCTAAACCAGGTTTAATTTTCTAGATTGATGACAACAGACTAAGTTAGTAGATCTATGTGGTGATCCTGGATCAGCAGTAAGGCTTGGAGACGAATGTGGACAGTATATACAGGCCTATGAATGCTCACGATGTTAGGACAAACAATGTGGAAGGATATGGCCTGTATCTATATGTTCAAAGACATGGTTTACCTCAAAAATTACAGACTATACAGTTACTTTGATGTCTATGCATATGTACTCTTTTCTATTATTAGTTACCACCACATTAGAGTCAATATTTGGGCCTTTGAGTCATGTTGAGTGGGAGAGACTAATCCTAAGCATATGACAGCCATGTCTTTAAAGTGTGTGGGATCCTGGGGAAAGAAAAGCTGTGGCATTCTAAGTGAACAAGCAAAAGCAAATTATTTAAAGCAAGTCATGTTTAAAAGACAGTTTTAATCTGTCATGATCTTCTTACTCACTCATAAAACAGCACAAGCAGGCTACCCCATAAAAACGCTCACTACAGAGCAACTAGAGCTTCCAGGTTTCAGTTTGTCTTGTGAGGGCTTCCACCCAGGGAGCCATTTCTCTTAAAACTGAGGATATACACAGGGCAAAGTGCTTTGTGATTAAGCTCGCTATGTTCCCTGTACAGTACAGTAGCCTCAATCTACTGCTCACAATTAACAAAAGCAATTATATTTGCAAATATTTTATATAGAAGGCAAGGTCATAGAGGTGTTAAACGTGAGTCTAAAAATGAGGGTAAAGTGAGATTTATGTCCATCGATATCCATCTCCAAACAACATAATCATTTGCTGCACTGAGATCAAACCCCTCATTCATTTTTAATTAACCCTTGTCTGTCTGCCTGGTACTGCTGAAGTACTACAAAAACAAGTTTAGGCGACTTACCCTGACACGCAGACTACCAGAGATTTGGCGTCGTCGCTGCTCTACTGCCGATCAGACAGGCGGGTTTCACATCAAAGCATTAATAAACTGATTCGAGAGACCAAATGCTCACAGATCCTAAAATCGGGGCTTGGAGAGGCGGCGGAGGCGGCAGCAGAGACAGTCGGTGCCAAAACGAGCGACAGACAGGCGATGAGGGATCCCATTCAACTGAAGCGGCGGCCCGGTGAGGTCATGACGGGGAATCCGAAACTAGGAAAACATATTGCATTCTCATATAGGCCAACTGGATTAAAGTAGAAAGACCCAGTTTGCCTATCACACATGTAAATGTTGCATTACGCTTGGCAATAACCGACAGTCAGCTTCTGTACAGGAACACCAAATCATGACCAAAACACTGGGATGTTATCGGATGTAATATCAGAGACGGGGGTGGGAGGAGACTCAAACACATAAGTCAAGCACTGATTGGTGGGATTCTTTTATGCACAATTGAGCCCTGATTTAGTTGAATGGCGTTTCATAGCTCTTCGCCTGAGGATTCAGATCAAAACGTGGCTCAACGTAAACTTATTTACCGTGGTGGAATCACTAAGATCTTTTGCTTCAGAAATGGTCAATAAGTCAAAGTCCTGCCTTCAAAATGAGTACAGAATTAAAAGTTTGTACTCATGACGCAGAATGGCCCATATCAGAATAATATTTCGCAAACTATATTACTGGATTTCAGTCAGTGGTGCATTAATGTGTGTGCTTCACTAATGTTGCCGCTGGTAAAGGTGGAGCTGTTTTTAACTAGGCTGCTTTACTGCCAGGTAGCTAATACTACATCATAATATGTTAGCTTATTTATTTACTGTAGGCAATGATTTTATTTATGCCAGATGTAACATTTATGTTATATTACAAATGTTCACACATCATACCTTGGTTCTGAATTTTGAAGATATTCTTTGATTCTTCAAAAGATCAAAAGTGTTGACTTCAGATCTGAGCCATCTGCTGTCCACAATGTGGATCAACAGAAGGGCTTAAATGAAATGAAACAGGTGTGTTAGCTAAGACAAGCCTCACTATATTTGAACTAGAATGCGAGACAGTTCAAAATCAACAGATTTAAAATTATTTTGGGCTTCCATTCCCCCTTGGTGATACAATGCTGCCACCTACTGTTCAAATGAGGTACATTGGGTTGCAGCACTCGGGACCAGCAACACTTCAGCCAACATTAGTTTTTGCATAACTCTCAGGACTCATAGCAACATCATAGTACTGCATAGTAGAAAGTATTGTATAAGCCTACTGTTCTTTGCAGTATTGCGTTTCTTCTTACATAGAATTTGTGTACCCGTATAAGCACTGCAGGTTGGTGCTGTGTAGTATTGTGTACTGTTTGTTGCTGTCAGTGGTTGTAGAAGTGTTCGGATCTTTGACTTGCATTCAGAATTTACTTAAGGAAAAGTGCAGAAGTATTAGGAATAAAATGTACTTAAAGTATGAAAAGTAAAAGTACTCATGTGGCAGCAGAATGGACTTTCTGAATTGATATATTACACATTGTGTTACCAAAGAATACTAACATTGTGGCTGGTGGAGGTGGAGCAAGGCACCTCTGCCTTTAGTATGTGGGTGGGTGGGTGGGTGGGTTTTTTTGGATGGATGCATTTCAATTTGTATTTCATTGCCCTAAATGTACAATGATTTCAGAAATAATCTGTTTGAAGAAATTCAGTTTAACAATCCATGTTTGTTTCAGTTGTATGAAAGTGACATGTTGAGTGGAATCTTTAAAGAGGTTTTTGTGTTTTTGCTAGATTTATAGAAAATGCACGGCAGCTAAGACAGAGACACATTATTCTTCATAATAGGACACTTGTGTTCTGAAATTAATTAACTCATTTGAAATGTTTTGTTTCTGAATTTGTGAAACTGTATATTATGATTTTTTGTAGGACCATCCGGGTTGTTGTTGCTGCCTAGTGTCTTGTAAGCCTGTGCAGAAAACTTAAATAAACAAATTAAAAAACAAATACATGAATCAGTTAACTACTTTATATACTGTTGGGTAGTTTTATCCTTTCCACTACTGATGTTGTATTGATTAACTTCTGCCTGTGTTGTATGACACCATAGGCGCTGTAACTGGTACTGGGTGTCTGCCATGTGCATCATGTTCAATTATGTCCCCACACTACACACTAAGTTCCTCTGGGGCTATAAAGTTTAAAGTTAAGCGAAAGTTAAAATGAGAAGCAACAATGATACAGACAGATTTCAGTTTGAATCCACTTTAGAAGGAGAGAAATGATCATTATAAACAGCTATGGACAGCAACTGCAGTAATTACAAGCACAATAACGCTATCTCCAATGTCCAAATATATTTAAAAATTGCATATGGAACCTCAAGGAGTTGAAGAAGGATAATTAACACATCATAATTAATATGTGGCTGACAGTGCCAGAGTGGGAGAAATATTGAACAGCCCAATATAATTCCCAGAAGTTGCACAGTCATTCAGAAAATAATCAGTGGATTAAGGGTCACATTTTAGCTTGGATATAAATTCCATTTCACCATTTGGACTTAACAAGAGCAGAGAGCATTTGTGGCACTGGTTAACTCCCACGAGCAAATGACATCAACAAATCCATTAAAACATTTGAAGAAATCAGAGATGAAAAACATCACTATGTTGTTGGATCATAAAGACGTAGTACTTGAGCTCTTTAGTTATGTCTTTTGTTAAATAACATATTTCATATAAGACTGTTGTAAGACTATAAATCATTATTATGCTCCATGTTTTTTTTCTGTAAATTGGACTTATATTTCATATTTTATGGTATAATGCATTTCATTCAAAGATACTTTTTGATGGAAACATTTATTTAATACCAATACTAATCTCATCCTCTTCTCCTCTTGGTGTATTATCTTTAACTGAAAGTACACTGCTACATGGCAAGGCTGCATTTCTGGGAATAAAGAAAAATCATTTTCTCATTTGTATTTATACTTCTCTCTCCACCTTTCTATCTACATTCCTTCCTCCTTACCCCCTTTTCTCTCTCTCTCTCTCTCTTTGCACCATCAGTCTCTCCCTCTTCTTCACTTTCTGTCCTACTCCTTCCTTTTCCACCAGTCTCAGTCGTCCATATCTCTGGTGTCAGACGACCCTATAGGGAAGAGCATATCACTCTCTAGTGAGAGGTTGCTGCTCAGGCCAGCCATGCGGCTCCGCAGCAGAAAGTGTGTCCTCCTCTGCAGCAGCCTCTGCTGCTCCTGCTTCAGCTCCACATAGGACCGCGAGAAGGTGTGGAAGATGGAGGTGACGGGGAAGGCCATGAGGAGGATTCCGCTCAGGATGCTGCTCAGAGCCACCACCTGGCCCGGGATGCTTCTTGGCACCATGTCGCCATAGCCCACTGTCGTCATGGTGATGACAGCCCACCAGTAGGTTGCAGGGATGCTGGTGAACTCCTGCGTGGTTCCCATTTCATTCTCAATCAAGTACAATAAGGGGGAATACAGTGCGATGGCCACACATAGGAAAAGGAGGAGCAGTCCAAACTCCCGTGTGCAGCGGCGTGCTGTCAGGCCCAGAGTCTGCAGGCCCAGTGAATGGCGAGCTAGCCGCATCACATAGAGGATACGCAGGGCTCTCAGGACTCGCAACACCAAGCCCACTTTGTCCAAGTAGCTGCTGCCAGAGCCCAGCCGCTTCTCGCCTTTGGATGTGCTGTCCACCACCAAGGTGATGTAGTACGGCAGGATGGCCACCACATCTATCAGGTTCAGGGGCTGTCTGAGGAAGGTCAGCTTGCTGCGGTCTTGAATGAAGCGCAGAGTGAACTCCAGGGAGAACCAGGCCACACACACCGTCTCCACAATGAAGATGTTGTAGCACATCTGGGAACATGTGCCCTGGTTAAAGAAAGACATGAGTGAGCATGTGTTAGTGGTAGCTCTAGTCACTAGAGGGAACCATTTTAACATGAAACCCAGGTGCTAAGGACTTTCAGATGCTGCAGCATTGAACACTTTAATGTGCAAGATATTTCTACAATCAACAAAATAACGAAAGGAAAACATTTTGTAGAAACTCATTTGCAGAATGTGCCGCCTTAAATTTTTTGGACAAATGTGTGAATTGATTTGAGTAAATTTTGATAGAATGTGTGATGCGTGCCACAAAAACACAGGATCTGGTTTTCTTAGAGACGGTAATGATGCTGATTCAATGCGTGACTGAGAAGGTTCAAAGCATGTATATTGCACAAAGCCCTTTGAACGCAGTCCATATCAGTTAACAATATTATGAAACACACTCCCACAGACGAGGAGAAGGTTTGAGTAGACCGATTCAAGCACCTGAAAACTCCAGTAAACCTGTTCTCACTCAGAGACAGGAACACTTAAACACTTTTATTACAACACTTTGTTATCTGGCTGCAAGAAATTAGAGGCGGTAGAGCTGTTAGAACACGATTACTGGCACTTAAAAATTTAACATACTGAGAATACTGAAGTGTGAATACAAAGCAAGTGTTCCAGGTCAAAATTAACTGTAACTTCATCAGATCAAGTGCAGTCATTGTATTTCTTTTATTTCCTTTTCAGTATCAGTATCCATTTAAATGACACCAATTGTGATTGGTTTAGCAGTGTGACAAGAGATGCTGTTGAACTCTTGCTCTATGTACCGGAACTCCAAGAAGCCATAGTACTAAATGAAACATACAGAGTCACAATGAAAAAAAACGTTGAGATTTTGGTTTTGCCCTCCTCCCACCTACAGTACCACACATACAGTATCTGTACTTCATTTCCTGAGTATACACAAGAGCTAGTGAAAGTAGAACATTTGAAAACCACTACAATATTGCAATATTAAAACAGAAAGTAGTGGTTGCAATTCCTCTCCATTCAAAGGAGAAATGTCATCAAAAGCATTTAAGAGAAATTAAAACCCTGTTTGCACATCTTGCAAGTAAAAATATGTGTGTGGCTCAAATATTTAATTTTCCTTTGAACTGACTAAAGAGCCCTGTGTGCTAATTATGGTTGTGATTGAAGTCAGACATAACAATGAAAACATTTCATGAAAGCAGACTGAGACATCTTCAAATATTTTTTTTTCTAATCTGGCAAAAACAACTGGCTCTCTCAGCAGTCTCCCTTTTCTCTAAATGATATGACAGATGAGACATGCCATCATTCCAATTTTTTAATGTCAGTTTACCTCCGTTTAGCTTTTGAATACAGCTCAATTCAAATCTACCGAGGAACACAGACAAACCACCACTGAGGGGTTCAAATGTTTATTGTCAATAATTTGGTGTTTCTTGATGTAGTATAACAAAAACATGGAACACAACACAAATTCCCATCAAACAATAAAGATGTGTTGGGTCATGTCTTCGTTTTTACTTTTCCTCACTGACATGAAAACACTTCTGTTCTGGCATCTTGGCAACGTGTTTTTGTCTGCAGTAACTTTTTTTCCCCTCTGTGACATGTGTAAATGTCATTAGCCTACTCACCGCCTCCTCCTCTTCCCTCATGGCAGGCATGGTGCTGATGGATAGGTTGACGGCAGTGATGGTGACAAACAACACTGACAAACAAGCAAAGATCTTCCCAGGGAGGCCTGAGTGAGGCCTCTCCACCATGTCTCTTAGCTTGCCCATGCACCGGTTGAGTCTGGACTCTGCTGGATGCTCCTTGTGGCCACTGTGTGAATCCAGCAGATCCTCCAGGAGTTCCTCTTCCTCCTCTGCCCTTTCCATCGTTTCAAACTCCTCCACACGCTGCAGCAGACGCCGACGACAGCACCACTCCAGGCTCTCCTCGGGGACCCCCCAGTAGTGCAGCTCCTCCCTGAAGGAGAGGGCGCACATCTCTCTGAGGGACCGCAGCTTCCCTGCCCGCAGGAAGGTCAGGATGGTACGGAAGGCACAGGGGCTGCGGTCGAAGAAGAATTCATTGTGTGTAACATCATAGTCATCACAGATACCCATGATCTCATCAAAGCTGCTGCAGAGGTGTAGCTGGCCCAGACGAGACAGCGGAAAGTCTTCTAAGGTGGTCCAAGGCAGCTGGTAACGCAAGCCACCCACATTGATGATGGCGTGTAGTTTACGGGCACTGGACAGTAATGTGTCATCATGGATGGTGCTGAGCTCAGGGGCACGTTGTGCCCTCTTGTAGAAGGCTCCCTTTTGAGCCTCCTCCTCTTGTAGGGGAGGTGGGTTAAGGGAGGTATCAGAGGTACAGCTCAGGGCACTGTAGTCATAGTCAGAGCCATCGCCTGCCAGCAGGGTCATCTTTACTGGTCTGCTCACATCCCTGTGCTCAATTTGCCACCATCACACTGTCACCTTCAGAAGGAAAACAGAGAATTAATTAACATCTGACATAAGGAGTTTTTAAAATAAGTTTGTTTGTAACAATTCAGTGGAAAAAATGTATTTGTAGTTAATTGATTAAACTGACATTTATGGCTTTGATTAATTGTTACCTATTAAATTCATAAAGACTGTGGGAGTTAAGTTGGAGCAATACTGACACTGTTTCTTTAACAATTTCAGCAGTTACTCTTTTTACAAGACTGAGTAATACCACAATGCAGCATTATTGCAGCAGAATGCATTATTTGCATTTGAATTCTATTCTATTCTATTTCAATTCTCAAAGGCAGGAGATGAGACCAGACTTTTCCTTTTTCATTTTTCTAAACTTAATTATTCATATTGTCATCATGATGTTTTTCTTCTTCTTTTGCATTTCATAATTATGTATCCAATGTATTTGTTTAGTTTGTCTCAACAGTTTGTGAAACAAGCTGAATTAAATGACTGTAGGATGGACATTATAAATATTACTTATTATTTTACATGAATCGTTTTTAAATTTAAAGTTCTTAAACACTGAACGAGCAAATATTTTCTCACTTAGATTGCCTCTCTTGCATGTTTGACATACAGTACATTAAAGCTTTGTTAAACTGTGAATATCATACCTTTACAAGTGGTAAAGGTACTAAAAGAAGCCAACCTTCTTCATTTCTGTCAGTATAAAGGACTGTAGGTTGCTACTTACTAGAGTCTACCTTTATCACACACCCTATTAGATACAATAATTATATTGTGTGATTAAGTCACAAAGTACAAACTGTCCATGTAAGGTGGTAAAATGAAACTAGCGACCATTAGATTAAAGCTGCTTTAAGCCCTGCAGCCCACAACTACAGCACTTTTACATATTGCCAACACTGCAGAGAAATATGTTCATCCCAATGGAGCAGTTTTTCCATCCATCTAACAAATGTAAAGTAGATCCAGATATTTACTGGCCTTTCAGGTTTGTTTCACTGACAAAAATACCTGGGTCTGTACCTTCCTGTGCTTGTGTTTTTTCACTAGTAACTAGTTTAATTTGGCTTGGCAGGTATGGTACAGGCGACATCAGGCAATCACTAATGTCATTGGCAAACATTATTATAGCTCTGAATATGCAGTGGTGTTCCACTGGTACAATGTGTTTGTTTACAGGAATATTTCTGTCACATAAGTTAGTTCAACTTGGCTACTTTGTATGGACAACAGTAAAAAGAGTAGTTAGATATTTTGGGACTTTTGCTTTTCTGCCGTTTGTTTGATGAGAAAATTGCCTAAGTCATGTCTCTATGCTAATTACTGAGCTACAGCCAGCTGTTAGCTTTAGCTTAGCTTAGCATAATTACAGGAAGCAGCTAGACTGGCAACCTCACAGCCATGACAAGACTCCAGGAAGTCACCGTGCCATGGCTTCTACTCCCCGAAAATCCACAACTTGCATTTCTATTTTGTATGGATTCAATAAACAACATGGAACATGTTAATTAGTGATCTTTAGTACTGCTGGTGCACATTTTTTTTTAAATATGGAGATAACTATGATAACGGCCTTCAGATGCTTTTAGTCTTTATGCTAAGGTAAGCTAATCAATTCATGTTCTATCTCCATAATTAGCATATGGATATAAGAGAGGTTATCAATCCTGTCATGTCACTCTTGGCAAGAAAATCACAAAATTAGTCAAACTGCACAAACCTGACAAAGAGGGCCAAGGGCTGACAACGTCTGACAGGGGAGTTGTACTGCCATAGGAAACATGTTTCTTGTGATTGAGACAACTTATCACTATTATCTGTCCAACACATCAATCCCATGTGAACACAGACAGAGAATTTAATTAAGTTTCTTTACCTACAACCTTTATCCACTAATTGCATTAGAAAAACAGCCTGTCTGTGCCATAATCTTAGCAGTATGAATATGTAATGTATGCGTCATTAAACATGATCGCTGATGTAGATCAGGCATCAAGGGATAAGACTTTCACTCCCAGCAGTGTGCATGAACATCTGTTTCCCACAGCAGCCTGGGAATTACAAATAATGTCCTGATGTTATATTGGCTGTTGTTAGATAATTCACTGATATAATTGCTTTGTGCAGCTACTGAAGAAGCTATATTTAAACACAAAAAAAATGTGTGTGTCTCTCAACAGCTAGATTAGATGGCTGTCAAACACACTCATTTCAGTTAGGTGTTGGTTGAGGTATGTGTAGGTGCTAGACTGATTGAAAGAACCTTTGTACCTATGTACCTATGTAAATACTTCTGAAAATAACACATTCTCAATTAAGGTGCCAGAGAGGAATCATCGTGTCCGAGCATGTTTATTGATATCTCCCCTTTTCAGAGCCCAACATGTCACCTATTAACTCGCAATCACACTTAGACAGGTTCTACTGAGAGCAAACACACACACTGACACCAATATTTTCACAGTTTGTTCTTGGTGTTGAAATCTTTTTTAAGCTAAACTAGATAGGTGGATCAAAGAGAGAGAGAAAGAACAATATATCTAACTATAGGCGAGAGAATGAAAGAGAAATGTTTACTGGATATCACCAGTGCAGTGAGGACCTCGTGGCCTGTGTCCAAACTAATTTAATAAATTACAGTAATTTAGGGGGAGGCAGGTTAGCCAGTCAGGAATTAAAATGTCAGTGCTTGGATTTGCTGTACCACCGATTCTGGGTTAGGAAGGAGGCCTTGGCTTCTAAAACGGGGATGTGAATGTGTCACTGAATGGTTATTAGGCACCTGCACTGTCAGCCTCTGTGAGCCACTGATTACAGTCAGCACCATCTCCCACCCATGAAATTAGAGCAAACCCACCCCGAGCTCTTCTCTCAAACACTCTGCCTGGTTGTATTAACCTACGCTACTTCTTGATGGTGTTTCATTTGGGGCATTGTTGGAAAGTTCCCATGTGAGATCGGTCAGGAGGAATGGTTCGTGTGTGATGAGTTTTGTCGTACAGAAAACAGAATTAATGCATACATAACGCATCGAGACACTGAAATATGTCTCTAATGGATCCTCACATCTGCACATTCACATTTTCCATATTTTGATTACAATTAATGTATATCAAATCAACACTAGTGCCGCTTAACCAAACCAAAACACAAGAATGAAAATCAATTCTCAAAACAGTGTAAAATCCCTCCTTTTTGTTGTTACGACTCTGTGAATTCTCACATTCTCCCTCCATGCGGCGGAGGTTATCGATACGCCTACAATGCATCACCAGTGTGGATGTGCACAGGCCTACGCCACTCTCCTACTAGATTAAATCACACTTAACCCCTTGAGGCTGTTTGATTTCTCACTTTGCCTTTAAAGTGATTGTGCTTTTGCCTCTCCACAGTCACAGGATCATTTTTTTTAAACTCTTGTTTTTTTTCTCTTCTCCACTCTGTTGTGCCTCAGATGCCTCCTCTGGGGGACAAAGTCTATCTCGGAAGGAGAGATGAAACACTGCAAAGACAGCGAAGGCTGTTCTCCCCACCAGATCGGCTGAGGTCTGGCCTCTCTCTGTGCCAGCGTTATCACAGCTAAGCCACAGGGCATGTTCTCCAGATTGCCTGGTGAGTCACTAGGTTGTGAGTCTCTGTTGCATGACTGCATTGTGCATGCATTTCCCAGAGTGCCCTCCTCAAAAGTGTTTGGAGAGCTTCACTACAACCAATATTGATTGAGATATTTTAATAAGAACATTAATTATAAGAAGATCAAAGCAGAGCAAATTTTCAGGGAATTCTGAAGCCTTTTAGATGTTGAAAAAGGGTTTATATAATATTTATTTTATGAGTCTGCAGAGAAATGTGTGCAATATTCCTGCTCAATATGAATGGTTCTGATTGGTAAAAATCTGCTATGTAACACGTGCAGAGCATGTGTCCTACAAAGAGACATGATTATCTAATTGAGTAATGATTGCTATTTATAGCTGCATATTGGTGGAAATGCTATGTGATTTACAACAACCCTAACCCTTGCAAAAAGTCAGAATTGGACAGATTTCCTCAATCTGTCTCTGAATCAAGGATTTGCAATTCAACTTGACTCAGTCTGTGAAATACAAACACATGGTAATTAAATGAGAGATCAGTTTTTCTGATGAAAATCTGAACCTCAGAGACTCATAATTAAAGTGAAACATGTTCAACCTTCCGGTGACAGCTGTTCAGAGTGTAGAGTGCAATCTTATTTTTTTGCACATTTGTTCTTATTGGCGTAGCAATAATGTGTCGTTGTAAGATAATGCTTTTCATCAAAATGTCTCAGAATGATAGCTGTTACATGAAAATGGAGTCCATCATGTACTCTTTCTCTCAGGCTAAATGACCATTAAGACCACATGATGTCCCTTTGTTCTACCCAACATCCAGTTCTCTGCCTATTCCCTTAGCAGCTCACTGTTCTCTAATGGACCATAAGAGGGTGTTTTTTTTTTTCTTCAGAAATGGACTTGAAACCACAGGGGCAGCCAAGACCCAGCTGCCCCCTCACCCCCTCTGAAATCTAGTAAAACATTGAGACAGTCAGGAATGCCAGAAGCAGTTCTAACCCCAGAAGACATTTCCTTACAGTAATTCCAGGAGGCATAGTTTTAAACAAAAATGTTTTTCTTTTGTTGTAAGTGGGCGGTATTAATGCACGCTGAAAACCCTGTAGCTCCAGGACAATAACTGTCTCCCTAACTCTGTCTGTGGTCCACCACATTGTGCTGCTCTCTGTTTCTGAAGTACAAAGAAATATGCTCTATACATAAAACACTTTGATAATCAACTACGTTAGCACTAATGGTTGTTTATTTTATGTTCTGTTAACCATTTGATTTCAATTGCAACACACTTTTAAAACCTTTTGAAATACCATTCAAGTGCTTTTTTCATCTCCTTCTTTGACTCAAATGTCTCCCTAACAAAGGGCAAATGAGAAGCATCACACCTCTGTCATTTTCAGTATGCCGATTATTTCCTAGCCTGTCCCGTTTGTCCTTTCTCTTAAAGCACTCTATCCCCCAGACAGGGTCTGAGCCGACCCACCAAATCCCCACATTTCTGAATCAGTGCTCCACATTATGCTTCAGCACTCCTCATCCTCATAGCCCTTGCAAATTGGGACATATAATACTGAGACAGCCCACAAAACATGCTAAACCATCACCTGAACTTTACACCTATACACACACATTAACTTTATATGTAGAATTTTTTTTTCTTTCATCCCAGGCATTTTTCTTGCCTGAGTGGACGATTGTGCACTCAACTAACTTGATTATATAAAGATTGCATAACATTAAATTATCTGCATTGTCTGTGCGCATTAACCATACTCACTTCTCATCTTTTGATGCCCTTTTCCCGCTGAATTGCAATCATCCAACCACCTAATCGCTCTGGGCTATGTAAACAATTTATTTTTCACAGGCAGCTGATAAAAGTGGCGCTGGGGCCAGGCATGTGTGCAGCCAGGCACAACCTCATACTGGTGAAGACCTGACTGTCTGTCACTCTAGACAGAGTGTTTGAAAGGAGCACCAGGACTCCAGGTCCCAGCGGCATTAGGTGACAGAAGGTACAAGTAATGAATGCTTGAAGATAGGTGAAGGGAAACAACTCCACTCTTAGCACTATTACAGAGTGAGTGAAAAAGTACTTTAGTTGATGAGATGGAATAAATGGACCAGACAAACAGTCACACAGGGCTTTCTTTTGGGCTGGGTTGATGGAAAGAAATAGCAAATGAGATCACTTGATGGGCTGGAAATAAAATGTTTGGTGTTGAATGCACAAAATTATTTCCTATTACAGAATATGACAGGCCATTCCATATCAACAAGGTGCATGTGACAATTGGAATTTGTGTGTATTTATTTGTTTGCCCAGTGTTTGGTTTGGATTGATAAAAAAAAATCCTTGTGAAAGAAGCAACAGCTACAATCTCGTTAAAACATGGAAAAAATTCACAGCCTAAGTCTAAGCAAAAAGCTGTGATTGGGGAAAGAGAGACAATACCTTTATCCTACTTACAATTTCAAAGCACATTCATCACGCGATTGGTGTAGAATCTGAGTCCTGACTGAAGATCTCTTTCTTTACCTACTGGTGCTCTGGGAAACAGTATTGCTGGTGGGACCATAGCCCTTTGACCTTCTCTAATGACACTGACATGGGATTGGCAGATTATAATTCGTTTGTGCACCCATTTTTGTGGGGTAGAATCAGACAGCCATTCTTAGCTGTTAGAACGGGAAAAAGTAATTAGTTCATCCCATTATAGTCCCAATTACCTGGAGGAGGGAGAGAGGATGATCTATTACATATCATATATCACTGATCTAAAGTCTTAGAGAGGCATTTGCGTTGTGGACTCATAATCACATTATGGGGCGTACTCTAACATCATCTTCAAAGTGAGACCCTGTGCTGTATTGAGAATGATCTCTTATGTATTCACTGAAACATAACATGAGCCATGATTCACTGTTTGAGGACTTGAAGTGGCTCTCAGATTCAAAACTTTCTCTTACATCAGTTTTCATTGGTTGCAATTTAAAATGCCTCTGCAAACATATGCGTATATATATATATATATATATATATATGTACTGTATATATCCCTGTCTGTAGATCATGGCAGAGAATGTCTCACTACAACAGTAAACCTAGTCTCTGACAAGATATCAGTAAATGTTGACAGATCATAACATGTGGTAATGTAGCTGCAGCCTTGTTACCATGGAGTACTGTACGTGCAGTGTATCCAGTATGCAAATCATCACCATAGATGGGTCAAAAGATCCAAAATAAAATAATACCTCTTTTAAGTGGAGTCAGCTCAATCTTGCATTAAGGCATTTCACAATAAAAACGGACTGCTTCCTTCAAGTCGTTTTTTTAGAAAAGGATTGAGTGCACTGCATTCTTGCACATATTTTTTTTAGGCTGAGATCTACAATAGCACTCACTGAATAAATAAATTATCCAAACAATCCTCTTAATATCAACCCTGGAAAATCTAGCTACAAAAATGTCAGAGTCAGCCCTGTCATTTCCAACTTCTTACTGCAAAAGCGAATGCTGTGCCGCATGTGACAAACTCTCAAAGTGTGACTCTCTAACTAAGAAAGTGTGCCTTGCTGTACAACACACCTCAAGTTTGAATACTTGAATAGTCTGAAATAAAAAGGCAAATACTCACTGTGCTCCTGAATTTGGTCTTCAGTAGCTGTTAGTTTGCTCAAGGCGCTGAGAAGAATGCACGAAGGGATATATGAAATGTGTTATCAGCTTCTGCTGCTGCCTCGTTTAACTCTGCTCCATCTATGCACAGGCACTAGGCTTGTGGAGTACGAGGAGGTTATTCAGTGATCATGAGCAACAGGCTGCCCCCTCCCCTCCCCACCCCTCCCACCCTCCCTCCCTTTGCCCTCATTACTCCCTCTCCCTCTCAACTCCTTTCTCCCCTCTTCCTCCAGCGCTGACATCAGAAGTGGGTGTGCCATTATACCAAAAGCTTTTGAGAAAAAAATCCATGGCAACCACCATCTAGAAAGCTGTGCTTTCCCTCCACCTTTAAATGAAAATAATCACCGTCTTTTGATTGTAGATTCACACAAAGGTATAAATTTGTCCAGTGGGTTACCCGGCTGAGGGGGAGGGAGGAGGGGAGGGAGGAGGGGAGGGAGGAGGGGAGGGCCACTGTAGGCTGGACTCACCAGGGTGTCCAAATTTAGACAAGTGGTGGGAAACGCTTTTATGAGGTATGATGATAAGGAGGAAGGCATGGCTCATACAGAGAATGTTCATCACCACCAGAGCGAAAGCTGCTGTTTTTTTCTTATGCTTTTAATAACTATTTGTTTCCAATGGCCATTGAAGTGATGTCTTTATTTGTTTGTTTTTTATCACAGTATACCACCATCAGAACTGAAGGGGAAACTCAGTCACCAAACATAGTTTTCATTCCGAGAAGGAGATGGTCATAATGTCCAAATCGATTAAGAAAATGCAATTTAAGAGGGGAAACAATATGAAACATAACAACATATATGTGTTTCAGCACATTTGGCACATCTGCATTCTGTCCACTGAGCATTACCTCAAAATTGTGTTGCCTGTATTAGGACCTATTATCACTTTAATGATCGACCTGTCTTGAACTGAATGGAAACTGAATGGAAACTGCAGCAGTAAACACATGAATAGTCACTCTCAGTGTATTATTTTCACTTCAGTGCTGGTGCTGTAAAAAAAAAGTGAAGCAGGGAGAGGGGGTAATATTCCAAGAAAAAACTCACAAATTTACGAGAAAACATTTGACTTTGCAGGAATTTACAACTTTAGTGTCGGGAAATTCTGAATTTGTTCTCCGAATATTATATCCCCCGGCTACAAGTTACATTTTAAATTTAAATGAAATATTTTAAATGTGAGAATACAGTAATTCACAACATTTCCTAGGAAGAGAGTAGGAATTTCTGTGGATCAAAATCATCATAATGACACATAGGAGTTTGAATTCTCAAATGCAGATTTTATATTAAGGAATATGAGAGGTGTTGTCTTTGTCAAACAAACAAATTAAATCATTATTATATATATGCACTATTGCATCCACCAGACTGTATGTCACTTTTGTTTTGACTGAGCTTACACAGCACATGGCAAACCAGACCACTGTATGATATATGACCATGTCCCATAATATCAAAATTAACAAGCACCACTATGTTCTAGTTCTTTCATAATTGAGAAAGAGCTGTAATGCAAAAGTAAAATACAAACAATGTGAAAGGTAGAGTTTTCCTAATATTGGATTGAAATGAACAAGACTAAGAGTTTACAGCCATGTTAGCATTCCTTTAAGCTAAATGCTAATAAATGCCAATGTTAGCATGCTAGCATGCCCACAATGATAATGCTAATAATGCACCATCTTAGTTTAGCATGTTAGTGTGCTAACATTTGCTAATTAGCACCAAACATAAAGTAATGTAATTAGTTTAACAGGTATTTGGTCATAAAGTAAAGTATTGGACACATTAAAATGCTGAGCTGATTGTGGCACTAGATAAAAAACTAAGAGATCACAAAAATTATTACAGTTCATCCTGTGATAAGTGGCAACTTTGACCCTGTGAGGGGCTGTTTGATAATTATTGCAGAAGGGAGCTGAATCCTAGCAAGGCCATCCAAAGCCTTACTGATTTTTTTTTGGACCATCCCTCTGAAAATTCTATATCAATACTGAAAATAATTTATTTATGGTAAATGTAAAAAAAAAAAAAAAAAAAGGTGAGTCATGCTCTATTTTTGAATAAAGATATGATAAATGGTGAGACCTATTACAGCGACTGAATGAGTGAACCGGGCCCAGGTGGTGGTGGTTGTGATTGACTTGGGTAAAAGGAATGTGTTACGGGTGGTGTGGGGACAGAGAGGACCCAAATGCAACGCTCAGAGGAAAGGAGGTTTATTGAGGGAACAAGGGGTTGAGGGACCGGAGTGGAGGGAGAGGTGGAACCGAGTTGACTGGGACCAGAGAGCCGGGGGGCACTGGGGCCGAGGAAGGGAGGATGCAAGTAGGGGGAGCCCGAAGAGGAGAGGACTGGAGGATGAGCCCAGCCGACAGAACGGATGACGAGGGTGAGTGAACCTGGGAGGGAAAACAGACAGGGTTAGAGACAGGAGCGACAAAGCTCAGGGAAATTGTGAGAAAACAAAAACATGAGAGCCTGAACGCAGAGGTGGCACCGGGTATGGAGCAACGACGATCAAGCAAGAATGGTGTGGAGATGAGGTTGACTACTGGCAGGTGTGGCAGGCTGACGAGGTGGCTGATGAGGTGAGGCTCAGGAGCAGAGGGAGAGAGAGAGCACACAGGAGAGAAAACACAGGGAGGCAGACAGGGAACAGAGAAAACCAAGAAAAAAGCAGAATAACTGAAGAAAAGGCACTCACCGTCAGCCGGGCCGCCACCACAACAGAATGAGCATAATATAAAACAACCTCTCCTCCTCTTCCAAAAATATGTAGACCTACTACCTTCCAGTGTGCAAAGATTTTAAATACATATTCCTCCCCGGGTTTTTTTACCCCCTGCCTGCCCCTATTAATTTTCATATTGTACCTGAAGGGGCAGGAGGAAAAGTATATAAGAGTATCATCAAAGTCAATATGGTTCATCCTCTGGGGACAATGAATATCTATAAAAAAATTGCATGACAGTCCATCCTATAGTTGTTGAGATATTTCAGTCTGGACCAATCAAAAAAATCCAAAGTGGTGGGCCAATAGACTGACAGACAACATTATCATTTAGAGTCGTGATGCTAGTGAGGCTAAAAATATATGCTCACCTTCATGTTACATCATTTGGTGGTAGGATTGTGCATTTTCACTTTTATATTAAATATGGCCTGTTGTTATTGATGTCTAAGTCTTAAAATGTGTTCATTTTGGCATGACACTTGAGTGGGCCATTTTCTGGGTGTTAACTGAGCTTCAGTTAGACTGCATTGCACAAACGAGGGGTCTAAATATATTCAGAAATCACATCAGTAACAAATCCACTTTTGCTATTTACAATTCATAATTATTAATCCCAGTACATTAGTATTCAGGCATGCTGTGTTTTGCAGTACAAATCAGGTACCACCTGGAATAGAAAAACATCCATTACAAGAATGAAATTGAATTTTAAGAAGCAGGAACTGGAAGTTTTTCACTTCATGTCAGCACCAGCAGTTATTGCACCTACAGGTGTTCACTTGCTTATTGTTGATTGCTAATTACTGATACAATTTTAACCCATTTCTTCTGAGGATTGGTGTACTCTCTGGCACTGTAGCCTTTCCTCTGACAGTTTTCTCAGTTGTCAAGTGCTGCATTTCTACTGCTTTCTTACTGCTTAAAGATGCCAGATGTTCAGATGTCTTTGATCCTCCAGTGCTTAATAATTAAATACTATTTTCAAAGGCACCTTTTTATCTCCAAAACTTCCAAGATGATATAAAATAGAGACAGAAGAGACATAGAAGAGACATAGTGCATTAATTAGTTAGCTTAAGAGGTGCTTGTAGATACATTTTGAGAGGGTTCCAGTAGAACAACAGATTTAAGTCGGAAAAACCAAGACTGATGCCTCTGGCCATTGTTAGCAATACCGATTGATAACAACGCTTTACGCTGTATTTTCCATATACAAACACCGTAGCAACATGTCTAGAGATATAAGTTGGACAGGACTGTATTTAATGAGACAAAAATAAGACAGATATGCGATAAACTGTAAATTACTACAGCTTTCACAACTGTTGATTCCAGGAGCAGCCATCTTGGATTTTGAGGTTGGGGTCGGTGAGGTTCTCCAGACTTTCCAAGTTGGAAATGACTTAAGGAGGCATTCCCCCATGTCAAATGGAACACACCATCATATTTTGCCATATAGAGACCACAGAGTGGTATTCATCTTCTCATCTAACTCTGCAAGAAAGAAAACAAGTGTATTTTCCAAAAATGACGAACCATACTTTTAACTCAAGTCATTTTTATGGCTCAGCTCACTTTCATCCATCCAGTATTTCCACTTTAATTATTAAAACACTTACCGGCAGCAGTGCATTAACAGTGCTGGACAATATAGTACTGATCAGTCAGAGCCATCTTTACTTTGTATTTGTTTCCCACAGACATTTAATCCCCACCCAGAAAGGATGAGGGCAAAACAGTGGTTGGGTTAAAAAGCACTCTGAAGTTGATCCTGACTAATTACTTTGCAAAGTAAACACGCTGCTCAGAGAAATTAATCCAGTGAGTCTTTCACTGACAGTCAAGAATGAGGTCTTGAGAGTGACTGCTTAATGTCTTCACAGTTTGAGAATTGGCTTGGCCACTGAGGTTTTCAGAAACAGAATGAAGCTGTGGCATCGGAGTTACTATTTCACTGATCTCATGTTTTATTGACCTGGACGATTCATATTCTCCTGCTTGGGGGATATACTTAAAGCCAATAAAAAAACAGAGAGACATCTCCCCCAAAGTGTCTAGAATGAAAAAAAATGTTTTTATTAAAGCTTGTGGCTCTCATTACCAAAGCTGATAATAATTTAGATATGTCCGAATGGCTCCAGGTTTATTCACTGAGATTTTAACATTTAAATGATATAGAAGGACTTCCCGTAATATATTAGAGAGGAATAATAACCAGCCAGCCAGCCACTGTTTGCCTCTACTGTATTAACCATGAAGAGAGGATGAGGAGAATACTTTGTGGGAGGCAGTCTAAAATGGACAAGTTATTTGCAATTTCCATGCAAACAGACAAACAAGCTCTCTCACTCACATACAGTAATT